ACGACGGGGGCTACCGAGACGGGATCTAGTGGTAGTACTACCATCACCATCACCAGTACCGATATGCCTACCACGGTGGCTACAGATACTACTAGTACTACTACTACCAGTATAGTGTCCGAGACAACAGAGCCGGCTGAGATATCAAGCGACGGAAGCCGCGATTTCTCCACGGGCGCAAAGGCCGGCATTGGAGTTGGGGCTGGCCTCGGCGGGCTTCTGCTCCTTGCGGTGGGGGGCTTCTTTTTCTTGCACTTTCGCAGGAGAGGAGGCAAGCCGGAGACTATTCGGGAGATAGCTGGGTGAGGCTTTTGCTTTCTGGATGGTGGTTGGGATCGGAGTTTATATGCGGTGGGTAAGGGATGGAGATTGGGGTTTGTTTGGTTTTGCCTCGGACGGATCATGTGTTTCGTTGCATTGAACTGCAGAGAGCGAGGAGTTAAATTGGCTCTTTGTTGTTAGGTTAGGTTTGTGGCTGCGCATGTCTGGATCTGGCTCCAGCTGGATTTGACATGTATGTACATGGTAGATGGATATCCAGACACAAACTCAGAATATTGAAACCCCCATTCGAGTAAGTCCGGGATTTCGATCTCCAGATGCCTATGTCATTGTCTGCTCTGGCTGTCACTATACCGAATACCGTCACTTGTTCCTAGGTGTCCCTACTGTGCACTGTAGAACCCTAAGGTACAGACTTACAGTTATATTATAGTACCAACCTGAGCACACAAGCTATAATCCTGCGACACGACCCTTCCCATCACAACTCGTCTGATGTAGGGTAGAAGAAGACCCGCTTCGTTGAAGCGCGGTGAGGTGACGTCCGCATACTAGGCAGTATATATCTATATATCTATATACCTATATATCTATATATATGGTCCCTTGGCAGGCGGGCAAGTGACACATAGCTAGCTACAGCAGTGCTTACTTGACAGACCCAGCCGCAGCATACAATGTGGCCAGCTATAGCGGACGACGTGTGTTGTCGTTGACACGGGGGGGGGGGCGCCTGCTCGATCACGAAGTCCTTTATGACAGCTAGAATATGAAAAGCTGAGAAACAACAAATATTCATAGATATTAATGTTAAATATGAGACGACCTCATCAAGCATATTCCTTGTTCTATTTCTTATTCTGCCAAAGGTGGTAGGACCTGCGGCCATTCAAGCAAGAACTGAATATAGCTACAAAATATAACAACCTGGAACTATTCTATCCTGTGCAAATACATGATAGTTGCTTCCAACCCCACAGGCCAGGGACCAGTTAAATACTCAGCATTTTGAACTCACGCTCCTCCTTGTAATTTTCGGAAACACTCTGCAAGTCAAACTTGGTCCAGACCTCGGTGCCGTTTTTAAGATAGACGAGAACCGTGCCCTTAGCATCATAAAGGTCGACATTAAGATGAAGACCATCTTTCAAAGAGCCGTCCAAAATCCCAACTTTAATACCTGAGATGGTAATTAGGACTCTGAGGCCGTAGTTATCCTGGTCAACGAAGCCCTTTAAGCTATCATATATATTGTCAGCTGGTATTTTTCATATTTGAGTTTCTGCGACTTACGCCTGTCTTGAGAAGACCAAACCACCAGTCCAGCTCACGTATATTATACCCATCAGTTTCAGGTACGAGCAAATCGTCCGCACTCGCTTGTTCACCTGTTTGGGTAACAGTGTAAGGTGATGTCCAATCATCGTTTTGTTGGGAAATACTGATTCCTGGGCCTGTAAAACATAGGGACCTTAGTAAATATAATCCAGCCTGAAAAAAAAAAAAAAAAATATTTAACATTCCACATACCAGGAACGGGGTCATGAGGTCCAAATTGGTCGAAAGGCATGGTTTTGGAAATACTGGTGGCAGAAAATACTTTTTCGAAGTTCTGATGGCTGTAAGTCGAGATGACAAGGGCGTGGGTGTGAATCGGTAAACAACAAGACTTGAGTTTTGATCTTCCTGGGAGAGTATTTAGAGAGGAAGAAGGTATACTGAGAGATTGCCTGCTTTTATAATGGGAATGCTGTCCTGAACTCCAGGAGACTTTGACTGCCTCTGTGATTATCCAAGAACGTGTCTTTACATACCCACCTAGACAGTGGAGTCTCATGCAATAATCCACACACTAGTACTAATTTGCTCCTGGTGCAGACAGGGAGGAAATAATGGAGCTCGGTAGTGTACTAGGTACATCCAGTGAGATACCCAATAATATGTCCAAATTCCTGGCCGGATATAGTGGTGTCGAAGATATATTCTATAGGCCCCTTCTTGCAAAACCTCCAGGTTGTCAAGGGGCCTAGTTATCAGAAAGAATAGTACAAAGGCATGAGAGTACGATATCTAGAATATCATGATTGCTCTTTTTGTGACCAGTCTTGTGGTGATGCACGCCAGGGCCTTCTTCCACATGATCGATCATGGATATCTAGCGTTAGTGCCTAAGATGGAGCTATCCCCACTTTTACTCAAAGTAAAATTGATTAGTCTAATAGCATTAAGATAAGTGCAAGATCTCGGAATTCAGCGGCCGTACTAGTCCCAATCAAATGAGAAGCACCGCCAGCCACATCTTCAGCTGGGATCCGATCTGCCCCGCCAACGGAAACAAAATCCGATCTAGGTACCACTTTGTAGTAGCTGGTTAAGGAAGGAGCTGACGCTCCATGTAAGCAGTAAGGTAGGCTGAATACGTAGGTAGTCAGGCTACATGCGCATGAGGCGCTCGCAGTGGCTGTCTGAACTCTAAGTATACCTGGAAGTAAGGAAAAGACACTCAGCGCCTGGAATAATAATGTACTTTTCCTTCAAGATGGATATGTGGATCTAGAGTGCTTGACTGCTTGACCGCTTGTCCTTGATCGTGCTGTGTTCCTCCCCATTCTATACCTTTATATGACCTATACATCGGTGCATATACCTCATAATATTCTCATGGCCACGAACCTATCTCATTAAGGAATATAGCCAGTTCTTGCCTTTCAACTTGGTAGCACGTAAACATAACTTATGCATTCATCAACATTGATAGGTATTGATGCACCAGAACTCAAAAGGAAGCTGTGATCTCGGGCCGGGGAAGGCCCTACACCCAATACATTATTACATAAAGCTAGATCCTGCATGCCAGCGAAGCTGAAAAGAATTCAGGCAGGTGGTGCAGGTAAGGCTGACTAGCAGAGTTTCCTCTACTACCTAGTAGTTGCCGAGCCCTCCTACCACGAACCCAGACAAATCAAAGGGAAATGGTAATAATGAGAACGATCAGACGACTGTTTACTCGACTCATACTCGAGATCATATTTAAGCTAGTCTTGCTTTTCTGGGTAACGTAGTATCGCCTAGATAAGGTAGAAGAAGATAACCTACGCCGAAGCTTGCTTGAATAATCCATGAGACGGCAGGCGCCCTACAGGGAGTTAGTTTAACACCATTTGGATCAGCATGGAGCAGCAAGCTAGGATACAATAAGCAGAACAGAAAGTGGCTTGTGATTCTTCATCTAACTGGCATGTCTGATCCCAGCATATCGGACAAGCCACTGCACACTTGCTTCCCCATCAGAAAGTGGAAATCATCGGGCTAATCTTATTATTTTGGCCATTATCGGCAACATCAGGGTGGCCTATCCCACGAACTTTGGATGTAGCTGAACTTGTTTCGGAACTGTTATCCATAGTTTTGTGGGCTACCAAATCTTCGCAGCTCTCAGCATCATATATGATATCCCAGGGAATAATTCATCTGGGTGGAGCAAGTTGTTGCTGTTAGTGCTGCTTGTCTCGTCACAGACATTCTCAATCTCAAGCCTGGTGACTGAACCTGGGCGGCGCAAGATCACTGGTAATAAAGAATAAGCCTCGGGCAGCAATATGTAGTATGTAGTAGACCTGGGCAAATCTTTACTGGATAAATGGATAATGAATGCTATCTATCTACTCCGTATATAAGGGGGGAAAAAAAAAGGAAAGACGGCCCGAGCCGCGGATCGAACGCGGGACCTCTCGCATATTTGCTAAGGGTGAACCCCTGGGGAATTGTTAGTAACAAGATAACTAAGTGTGGTAATCTTAAGTGGAACTTACTAAGCGAGAATCATACCACTAGACCACCCGGGCGTTGGATGATGGGGTTTCAATTTTTGACATTATCAGGGGGGCGGGAGAATATATAGTCCTCAACACCACGGACTTGAGTTGTCTCGTTTGTGCTTTGTAATAGACACATTGGGTCGCTGGTGGGGTGTAGAGCTATATTTATATTGTCAGGTACCGTACTTGTCAATGTAACAAGGGTTAAATAGTTCTCTGATCATCTGTTGGTCTGGTGGTGCTGGGCTATTTACTGCTTGTCTCATCGCAACAGGAATATATATTTAGCCCTAACTTCCACCCGCCGTCACGTCCATGCCACACAACTGCAACCATAACTCCATATTTGTCAAATCTCGGCCCTGTGTAGTAGTATATTATATTACGTACAGGGATATATTTCCCCAAATGCCATCCAATATACACCTTGCAGTTAGTTTCTGTTTGGTCTGGGTCGCGAAGATATTTCACCTTTTCCGTGTTCCGTACTACAGTTTGCCTGGCATGAACATGAAGACTACGAGACTCCCCTCAAGGCGTCTACCGGAAGGTACATACCTACTCGGATAGTTCTTGATTTCCCTTTACATACATATCAGGTAGATTTGACATGCTGATTGCTGGAGGAAAAAAACTTTCTACTGGATATACGATGTATTGTCCATTCCCAGTTATCCCACTACGGGGTCATCATTTATTTTTGAAAAAGAAGGCTCTACTACGTAAGATAGTACATACTTCCTTTCGAACAAGATCAGATTCCATAAAGGAAAAGGGGCCACTCCTGCAGCACTGCTCTCCCCGTATCAGTATACCCTGCTCTATCCAAGCTAAACTGCCCTACATTAATCAGTAACAGGTTCAGGAGATAAAGCCAAAAAAGAGCTGCTTATCTAACAAGCGTCGGTGGTGTATCGGTAACATTAATGCCTTCCACTGGTGACAGCATTAGCGCCGGGTTCGACTCCCGGCCGACGCATTTGTCTTTACTTTTTCTTTTTCCCTCTTAGTTTGTTTATGAAGTTCGTCCGGTTTACTGACTAAGGTACTGAGAGGTTGAACGGGTGTGTATCACATATATTGTATGGTTGCTGGTCACTCATTCATCCCAGGCCTGGATCGGAGTTTCTCCGAAAAGAAGGATACCTAATATTGCAGCAGTTTGTTGAGTGCTTAGCGGCTGTAAGAAGCAGCTTGAATGGGTGAGATTAGATGGCAGCTATGTTGTAAAGATTCGGTCACAATAAGCAGATGGGTTACTGTGCAATGAGAATAGCGGGGTACTGCATCAGTCTGCCTTGTCTTAGTATATTATCTCCGCGAATGAGGCAGAGTTATTGAAGCACGACCTGAAGACGTTTACCTAGATCGGTGTTCGACGTCCTCTCCGATGCAGTGGAATCGGTTGCCTAGATTCAGTCGACTGATTAATTGAGGAGCTGCGGCACTCATTGAAGCTGGAGTTGGATGACACATTGCCCATGTATATCAGTTATAGTGATAGCCCCTTCCAGTCCACTGAAATGCAATGGCATAAGCTACTCAGATAGACCGGTGCAATCCCCGCAAGTGACGTGTGCCACGGTTCGACTCTGGGGAAGCCGACCTTTACCCGAATGAACTATAGTGACCACCACCAATAGGAGAAATCTCCAGCCAGGGCCGCCGATCATGCAATTCTCGCAGATTTTCCGCAGTTATAAACAAGCTGTCGACTGCGGGGCTGTGCTCTCCTCCCAGAGTAGGCCTTGGCAATGCTACTTCATGACGCTGGCTGCAGGACATCCCACGACTGCTTCAATATACAGTCTCCATGCCGGGAAACCAGCTCGTCGATCGGTCTTGGCAGGCCGGTGGCACGCAGAATATAAAGGCAATACCGAGCGTGCGAAGATAGTCAGTAGGTCCAAAGTAAGGTAGAATGTCCTCCCTCGCCGTCTCCAGCTGGCCGGGCTTGCTGCCCGACTGGACCAACCTGGATGTGCTGCACCGCAACACCCTCCCTCCGCGCGCCCACTTCTACACATACCCCACCGAGGAAGCAGCCCTAAGCTTCGACCGCGAGGAGAGCCTCTTCGTCAGCCTCAACGGCACCTGGAAATTCCACTATGACCCCTCGCCCTTCGACGCCCCGCTCTGGGAGACCGCCAACACCTCCTCGTGGGATGACATCGTCGTGCCGGGCCAGTGGCAGATGCAGGGCTATGGACGGCCGCATTACACCAACATCGACTATCCCTTCCCCGTGACCCCGCCGAATGTCTCGTACGTCAACCCGACGGGCTCGTACTGGCGCGAGTTCGACGTCCCCTCGGACTGGGAGGGCCAGCAGATCCGTCTGCGGTACGAGGGCGTCGACAGTGCGTTCCATGTCTGGGTTAACGGCGAGGAGGTCGGGTACAGCCAGGGGGCCCGCGACCCGAGCGAGTTCGACATCACCGACTATCTGTCGGCGGACGGGCCCAACACGCTTGCGACGCGTGTCTACCAATGGTCCGATGGTTCGTACCTGGAAGACCAGGACCAATGGTGGCTCTCCGGCATCTTCAGAGACGTGTATCTGGTCCCGTTCCCGCGCTCCGCCATCACCGACTTCTTCATCAAGCCCGAGGTCCATGACGACTTTGCCAGCGGCACGCTAAAGGCCAACTTCACGATCCAAGGCTCCCACGGTGACGTCCGCGTCAAGCTGCTCTCTCCAACCGGCGAAACCCTCGACGACTGGACCGGTCCGTCAGCAGACGGCTACAGCAAGGAAGTCACCGGCGACGACTTCCAGCTCTGGTCGGCGGAAACGCCCAACCTCTACACGGTGCTCATCGAATTCAACAACCGCACCATCTCGCAAAAGGCCGGCTTCAAGCGCGTCGAGATGCAGGGCCCGAACTTCCTCGTCAACGGCAAACCGATCATTATCTACGGCGTCAACCGCCACGAGCACCACCCCCGCTCCGGCCGCACGGTGCCCTACGAATACATGCGCGACGACCTGCTCCGCATGAAGCGCGCCAACATCAACGCCATCCGCGCCGCGCACCAACCGCACCACCCGGACTTCTTCGACGTCGCGGACGAGCTCGGCTTCTACATCATCGCGGAGGCGGACATCGAGTGCCACGGGTTCAACAACATCGAGGACACGGAAGAGGAGATGGCCTCCTGGCTGTCGGATAACCCGGAGTGGGAGCACGCGTATCTCGACCGCGCGGAGCAGCTGGTCGAGCGGTACAAGAACCATCCGTCGATCATCATCTGGTCGCTGGGGAACGAGTGCTTCTACGGCCGCAACCAGGCGGCCATGTACCGCTGGATCAAGGAGCGGGATCCGTCGAGGATCATCCACTACGAGCAGGATCGCGAGGCCGAGAGTGCCGACATCTACTCGCACATGTACTCCTCTCCGCAGACGATGATCGACCACATGAGCAGCCACCCGGATAAGGCGTTGCTCCTGTGCGAGTTTGCCCAGTACGCCTCCCATAGCATACCTCCTTGAGTAAAGCAATACTGACAGCACAGCGCAATGGGCAACGGCCCCGGCGGACTGGAGGAATACATAGCCCTCTTCCGCTCCCACCCGCTCTCGCAAGGAGGGCTCGTCTGGGAATGGAGCAACCACGGCCTGCTCAAGCGAGAAGGCGACCTCGAGTACTATGCCTACGGCGGCGACTTCGGCGACGAGCCCAACGATGCGGATTTCATCATGGACGGTCTCCTGCTCTCGGACCACACGCCGATGCCGTCTCTCGCCGAGTACGCGAAGATCATCCAGCCTGTCTCCGTTGCGCTGAGCAGCGACGGCACGCAAATGGTCGTCACGAACCACTATGATTTTCTCGACGTGAATACACTAGATGCGTCATGGCATCTCGTCCAAGACGGGCGCACTACCGAGTCGCAGCCACTGGATCTCCCGCGCATTCCGGCCGGGGAGAACCGCACGCTCGACCTCCCGCTCGACGTTGATACCCTCACCCAGGAGACCTGGCTGACGGTCGAGTTCAGCCTGAAGGAAGACAAACCCTGGGCTGAACAGGGCCACGTCGTCGCCTGGGACCAGCTCTACCTCTCCTCTACCTCTACCACCGCCTCAAACACCAATTCATCCATCACCACCCGCCAAACAGCATCCACCCCCCTATCTATCGAACACTCCCGCACAAACCTAACCATCACCTCCGGCCCCACAACCTACACCTTCGACCTCCTCCAGGGAAACCTCACCTGGGTGACCAACGGCGTCAACCTCCTCACCCGCGGCCCGGAGCTGTACTTCTACCGCGCCATGACGCAAAACGACGAAGCGTCCGCGGGCAACGGCCCCGAATGGGACGCCGCCCACGTCGGCACAATGCACACGCAAGTCCGGGGCGTCACCTGGCGCCAGCCATCCGAGAGCGAAGTCGTCGTGGTTTTCACCGTTCGCGTTGCACCGATGGTGCTGGAATGGGGGGTTGAGGCCCAACTCACCTATACCATTTCCTCCGGCCAAGATGCCATCGGCATCCAGGCGGTCGGCGACTTCGAGGGGGAGAATACCCCGCCCGTCATCCCGCGGATCGGCCTGCTGATGACCCTCCCTGAGGAATTCGACAACGTGGCCTGGTTCGGCCGCGGGCCGGGCGAGAACTACCCCGATTCGAAGCAGGCGTGTCGGGTCGGCGAGTACGAGGCTACTGTGGACGAGCTATTCACGCGGTACGACTACCCGCAGGAGAACGGGAACCGGGGGGATGTGCGCTGGATGAGGATTTCGAATGGGGAGGGCGGGGTTGGGTTGGCTGTGAGACGGAACGAGGGTGTGCAGGGTGGGGAGGTGTTTAGTTTCACGGCGCGGCGGTTCATGCCGCATGATTTGAATGACGCGAAGCATCCACATGAGCTGCGGGTATTGGATCGGACGGTGCTGCATCTGGATTATGAGAATCATGGGCTAGGGTCGGCGACTGTGGGACCGCAGCCGTTTGAGGAGTATTGGTGTCGGACGGAGGCGTTTGAGTTTGGGTTTGAGGTGAGGGTTGTTTAGCTGCCCAGCCTCAGCTGGGGTGAGAGTCGGCTTTCTCTTTTTATCTCTCGTTGTAGTTGAGAAAAGTGGGAAGATTGGGATAGGATATGGTTGATATGATATGGTACTCTGTTTAGCTAGTAGGTACTTACTACATCCAGTCCAATATATGAAGATTCGCCTACATCGATGCTGTTGTTAACCGAATGCTGCTGCCTTGAAATACTCGCCAGTAATAATTTCATAGCCTGGAACTGCATCAGCAATGCTAATCCCGTAAGTGCCTATTTGGCAGGAATCTACATATCTATCTGCACGGCAACATTAGCAGGGCAGTGTATACCCTTTTATCCCATCCAGGTTCTCCTTCATCCCGTGAGTAGATCCTAGGTACATGGAAAGAAAGGTCGACTGCGTATTAAAATCACCCCGTTTTGGATGCCGATGTCGAACACTTCCAGCGGCCTAGGTTCAATGCCCTAAATAGTGAGTTAGTTGGCTTCAGCCCCAGCCCCCTTCTTCCCCGGACAATTGGGATGTTCTACTCACTACCTGTATTGCCAATCAAGCGAACAGTAGCACAAATATTTATGAGAATGCCCTTTTTATACCGATCCCGGTCGTTCCAAGAGAGGGAACCAAACTAACCACCTCACAATACCCGCGTCCACAGCGTACCGAGGCGACCTTCGCAGGCAGCCAGGTAACCAGGGCCAGGCACCTGCAGGTACACACGCACACAGGACCTCTCACAGCCACAAGCGCGGAGAAACCCGTACCTGGCTAGTAACTAACCCCGTGGGCAGCGCAATCCTGCCGCCGATCTGATGCCACGAGACAAGACACGAAAAAGAAGGCCAATGTAACCTTCCTCCCGAGATCTGTACGCAAGTAATCAGACCAGTAAGTACTCGGACCCCAGATAGGTGGCTGGGCATTGATAAGTACAGGATTCTGACAGCTTCAGCTTATCT